GAATAAGGAAAGGTACTAAGTTCGAAAAAAAAAATCTTGACTCCGTAGCGTAGTTGCCAAGGCGTTGGATTCGGCGTTGGGGGTCGTGGGTACGATTCCCACACGACAACTATTTGTGTGACCCCCAGATAATTGTTTCGTATCTGGGTGTTAGTCCACGTGAAATATATGTTTGTGAAACCTCCTTAAAACACAGGATGATTTTATTCTAAAGTTTAAGTTAAGCTAATGGGCAATGTTTAAAAAAAAATCCTTAAAAGGATTTAACACACACAGGTTAATGTTTATATACGTCTAATCAGGCAAACCATATTAAACGTAACTTTTCACATTGATTAATTTTGTTTGGTAAAAAAGTAAAAAGTAAAGTAAAACAGCCTATACATGTCCCACTGCTGGGAAAAGGCCTCCTCTATATAGAGGGTATCAGGGCATAGTCCACCACGCGTCCCCACTGCGGATTGGCGAACTTCACATATCTTTTTCGAATTTATTTTTTGTTATTATTTCGAAAATATGCAGGTTTCCTCATGATGTTTTCCTTCATCGCGGAGCACGTGATAAGCACTTACAGTTAAAAACTACATTAGGTGCCGGCACCGGGGATCGAACTCAGGTTGCTCGAGTATATTGAATTAAAGGCGAGCGCCCGGACAGTCAGCTATCACGGCGCATTGTTTGGTAAATATTCTTAATATTCAGTAAAGTACCTGAAGGCCTTTTGGCGCGGAACGCTGTGCCCATTTCTTACATCAAAAGAGCACATAGCAATCCGCACGTAAAACTTTGCGAAGTTTGTTCGCTAAATTACTTGTCGTTTGGCTTTAACATCTTTAATTAACAGTGTTGTTGTTTAGTCTTCGCCGGGTTAACGTTTAACTTGGTTACTAATTACGCAATTTGTAGTCCGCGGCGTGTTTCAAAAAACTTTCACAGAAATTAGCGAAAGTGGAGGGGTGGTGATTGGGTCACGGTAGAATACAATTTTGCCACCTCGATGTTGAAATGTATCGATTCTTCTGGCAAAGAAAGTCAAAGTTGTGCAGTTGTCGTATTTTAATCGTTTCATACATTCATAAAGTAAGTATTAGTATGTGGATACATTTATGAAGTAAACATTTTGATTGGCGCAGGATGAAGCACAATTTGTAATTTAAATCCGTTGCGTGCTCAAACGGCTTAACTTATTTAATATTAATTAACGTGTGGCTCGATAACAGTGTGTTGAATTTATTAAGTGATTTACGACCCGTAAACAATGTTTTTAGCGTTGTTATTTCTCAACATATTAATTTAGTTAACCTTGAATGGATTGTTTTCGACCATATATTTTTGTTATAGCTAAGAAACTTAAATTTTAGGAATTTAAATTTTCTTCATGTTTAGTAATGCGATTTTATATTAGAAAGGAACTCTCGCCGTATTGCTGTATGCGGCAGGGATGTTGCCCCAGCTGTGTTTCTCGTAAAACGTACAGCAAGTAAATATTGAGATGCGATGGGTCTGCATTATACGTCCATCTCCCTATTATGTACGTATAAGATCGTACGTACCGCTCATAAAATGTACCAACACAAGACATATCACTCTCACTCATCGCGTTTCGTTCGAATCCCACATCTATTAGTATATAATTATGCTGTGAATGCTTATGTAACTAGTATTTCAGAATTACTGAAGAACATTTCAGGATTGTCGTTTTCTTTGTTTACTGTTTTTAACTATAATTATAAGATTACGAAGTATAGAGGTTATCAGATACTAGTTAGCTCATATTATTTTATTTCACTCCCACCATTTCTTTATTATATTAAACTAGCTTTTCCCCGCGGCTTCGCTCGCGTTGAAGCCTTTAAATAATAATCTTTCTTTAACCTTTCAACCCTTAGCAACACTTTTTTTTTTTCAATTAAAATATAGCCTATTGTCCTTTCTCAGGCTCTAGACTATCTGTGTACCAAATTTCAATTAAATTGGTTCAGTAGTTTTGGCGTGAAAGCGAGACATACAGACAGAGTTACTTTCGCATTTATAATATTAGTATGGATTATATCTATAATGGGATATGAATAACCTGAAAATTAATATAATGGGGAGGTATTTATTTGTTTTCTCGTCTAGTTGGTTTTGTAAAAATTAAACAATTGTAATTACTATTAACAACACTCGTATGATCTTCTGTATCATATAAGTGTATATTAAAGTATGAATTAATTTCCTATTACCCTCTCAAAAATATCGTATTATTACCAAGTTACGGTATCCAATTACCGTTAGTGTAACCTGGTAATATTTAAAAAAAAATAAGTTAGCAAAACCGCGTGCTCTGTTTCCTACGGAATTTGCTCAAAGATAGCAAATATACCGGGGGACAATCGATTTTCCCGTAACTGTACAAGTTGCCGACACTCGGGATCCCGATTTTATTAAATGTGTTCTGGGAATTCCCCGCGATGCCGGGCATTCGATTTTGCCTTCACATTATTTCTAACATTCCTTTTTTGTGGGCTAATTCGGTCGGAGGCGATTTTAATAGGTTTTTGTTTAAACCCCTAATCATGAAGTGAGGACGTCCGATTCTCGGTTCTCACTGGACCTTTTAAGAATAATCTACCTGTAATAGATTGATTGGCTGAATTTAAATTACACGATAATGTTTGATTATTTAAAGTTAAATACCGTCATTAGTCTCAGTGATGCTTGGTCATTGTGCATTGGGTCCGCTAATTAGTGTGAACAGTATTTCCCTGTGAATTGTTTTTCATTACTTCTTTGCTCTCTGCTCTTTTATGGACACTTTTTTCTATCTCCAGGCCTTTTATCTGCCCATGAAGGGTTGACTATTATATATAAGATTGACTTATTGTGCCGACCTCACCTAGGGGGATCTGGGCAGGAGGATGATGGTGATGATATCTCCCAGCAAGATTATTCTTTTGCAAAAGCTTGATTGAGCTTTGATAAAATATTGTGTTTTAATATTTACATCTCTCCATAGTAAGTAATCCTGTGAAATCAAATCACTGGAAATGAGGCATTTGGCGGTTAAGTAGTTTTGCCCTTCCAGTGACGAACTTATTGTCCATTAAATACAAAAGGGAAGGGCAGAGGCCCGTGTTCATATCTGATTCTTGTACTCGTATTATGCTTATATCTCAGCAGGATTTATCACAAAATATCCATACGGATTTCGTAATTTATGTGACACAATAATTCCCTAATGTGTATCTTCCCCGCAAAGTCTCCTTGGGCCTAAAAGGCTAGATTTATTGCTTGTACTCTGAAATAAACCGGACAAATTTGGGCTCATGAAACCGTATCCGTGTTTGGTTTCTCTTAAATGTTTTAGATATTCTGTTTAAATGGTGTCCTGGCGTTCAGCCGAATTTTGCGTGTGTTGGTTGCTTTTTAAAAACATCTAAAATTTAAAAAAAAAGAATGTTTCTGTTACACAACCCATTTTAATAAAAGGCACCGCCAGCTCGTTTTTAACCTTCTCTCAGGGCAATCCTGAAGCAATGCTACGCTAGTTGAAGATTTGATTACGGTGGTAGTGGATTTGATTAGGTGCCACGCCGCAGCATCGGCTGTTGCACGAATGGGCAGGCCCGTCCGGGTAAGTACCACGACCTCACAGAAGACCAGCGTAAAGTAGCCGGAGCCCAATTTTCAAAAGGTTGTCAACGCATCTGTAACCCTCGGGTGTGGCAGATGTCCATGGGCGGCGGTATTCACTTACCATCAGGTGAATTGTCTGCTCGTTTGACAAATTTTCGCATAAAAAAGAAAAGATGTTTCCCTAACACCATTTTAAGACACATTTTTACACAACGTTCTCTAGTCCCAAACTAACTAGGGACTAGAATGAATATGAGTACTAGATAACTGATAAACATATTTAAACGTACTTTTCTTTTCTAAATAAATACATATTATACATATATATATATACACACACAGACACTAGGAAAACACTATGTTCACCACACAATATTTTTTCAGTAGTGGGGATCGAACCCACACCCTCTGACGCAGAACGGAGGTACGCTACCCACTACGCCATTCGGGTCGTCAATAAATAAATAATAAAATGATAAAGTTTTGCCGCTGTGCACGCTTCACGGAAAAACTACTGGATAGATTTTAATTAATTCTTCTAAATCTAAATAAATTAAATTTCTTTAATTCAAGTTTTATTTTTTGGACATTTGTCGCTTATCCACAAATATATTGTTATATCTTCATTTAATGTATGGTTATTAGTTTTAGGAAACAACGATATGTATAAGCTTTACTATTTAAATACATATTCCGTTGTAAATTGTGTTGTGTATTATTTTTTTAACTCCGTTCACTTTTTTATCCAATGTCATAGACATCTGAAACTAAAGACAAAGTTGGCGTCCCGCGTGAGTGATTGCGGTACTGACCTTATTCGGCTTAGGGACCAACTTTACAACAGTATCATAATGTATATGTAATAAATTTGTCTGTCCATAAATGTAATAAAATTAGTGTCTGTCTTTGGTTTTAAGCAAATTTAATTTAAACGTGCCGTGTGTGCATTACTTAATCATAACTAACGTTTTGATAAATTTTTATATGCATATCTGCTTGGAAGTTTGTCGCCAATGGGCTCCTAAGTGGTTTAACGGATTTTAAATGATAACTTTAGTATTCTTCCAAAAATATTAAATTTTTGTTAGAATACTAAAGTTATATTCATATATTCATAATTAAATTTATGTTTTCATATAAATTTTATATTTCGAATATTATTATGAATATATCACATTTAAGTTTATGATTTACTTATTCCTTATGTCCTTAATTTATCCATGGCTAGTGTCACGGGGTTTATTATAAAGGTCGTTATTATTTGGGATAGGTAGTTATTTATTGTCCCTTTTATGATCTGGATCGATTTTATGACCTATATCTAATAGGTCATAAAATCGATCCAGCAAACATTCATTTCACATTCTGTAAATTGCCAACAGATGCCTCGTGTCGAAACTGTTCGATGTATGCTCAAAATCCACACCGGAACAAATGGAGCAACTGGAGGAAATTAGGATACCGTGGGGCAGCGGTATCGTGGGCTACGTCGCGGAGAGCGGCGAGCCAGTCAATATCCCCGACGCGTACAAGGTAGTATCATATGTCACATATTAAGTCAATGTGTTATTGCTTTAGACGTTGCTGTTTAGTTGACAATAAGTAAATGATCGAGTTGGGCGTGCGACGCAGCTGGGTTCACTTTTATACCAGGAGTAGAAGAAGAAGAAACGCTTATTTGTCAGATAAAAATATCAATGGCGATTATCACTTAACATCAGATGAACTGCCAGTTCGCTTACCTTCTCGCATATAAAAAAAACTTTATCATAATAATATCCATGAATTTCCGTTAAAATATATTGCAAATAATTTAAAATAAATATAATGCATACATACATTATATAATAATTTGTTTTTACATATTCTACTGCAAGACACTTATTATATAAGCAACATATTACTAGAATAGTAAATAAACTAATAGTAACTAAGAATAGAATCATTAACACGTTTATACTCTATGTAGAGCTCTTGGTGTGTCAACCAAGTACCGGCTTGTTGGATGTTTTTCTTAAAACGTGTCTTCTAACTTAAGCATGATTATTCGGTTTTTCATTACACTTCTTTATCTAAGTATACGTGTAAGCACCACACGATTCAGGAGCGCATATTTTCAACATTTCCCCAAATTCTCGCAACGCCTCTTAATGTAAATCTACGTTTAAAAGCTTTAAACGCCCCGCAGCGTTTTAAATAGCAATTTTAACGCCGTACAATTGTGACTTGAACCTTTGTATCTAGAATTCTCATTCTGCATTTAATTCCTATCCATTACATTATACAGCGAGTGTTCGCTTTTTTTTTTTAACTTTCATGGGGTGTTACTCAGTTGTGATAACAATTTCTCTTCTATTAAATAACTTTTGTTTAAACGGTGATAGGGCCACGCAGCAGCCTCGGTTGCACGAATGGGCAGGCCCGTCCGGGTAAGTACCACGAAGTAGCCGGAGCCCAATTTTCAAAAGGTTGTCGACGCATCTGTAACCCTAGGGTGTGGCAGATGTCCATGGGCGGCGGTATTCACTTAGCATCTGGTGAACCGTCTGCTCGTTTGACAACTTTTCGCATAAAAAAAAAACTTATCACTTCACTGTCTTATGGCGATAGTTATTAAGCAATGTGCTTCTTTTAATATTTATTATAACAGAATAAAATTTTATAAAATATTTTAAGTATCTATTTTGTTTTTGTAAATAAAAACAGTAAGGTCTCTTTTATTTCTTTACATTTTGCTTACAGCAAAATGTAAAGAAATAAATAGTAATCAATATGTAAAGTAGATCTGATGGCTTGATTAAAATTCAAAATGCTATCTAAGCATTTGGGACAATCAAGAACAAAAGATAAACCAGTCCAAAAAATATGAAATAAATGTATAAAATATCAAAGACAATGGGACCATTTCCATGTTAAAGTAATTTTAATTTGAATACGTTTTTATGGTCATTTTATTAATATCAAAACTAACATAATTTGAGCGCAGGTATTCTTAGGAGGAAATTTTACGTTGGCATTTAAAAAGGACGAATAAATCTTAATGCTATTCCAAGCATAAAAATGTTTATTACAAATACAAAACATTTTTTCTCTTGAAGATTTAGTATGTTACTATGGAAACAGTATATGACATGCTTTAAAATGTATAGAGTAATAACCTTTTACGTTTTCTCATTAAGCAAAGACTGCATCATAACAGCGTACACGGTATTGGTTTAACGAAACATATTCTTGGTAAAATTATACGAAATGGCTGTAATATATTTTGATTCTTAATACAAATTATACTTTGAATGAGTATTCACCAAAATTAATTTTTGCTTTTGAAAAGGAAAGTTCCTGTAATATATTCAACTTAGATGTAATTAATTCTTTGAAAACGTAAAATTTAAGTTTCATCCTAAGTACAGAGCCTAGCACTAAAATAAAATTAATATCTACCTGAAATACTATTTTGTTTTTTTTTTTTGTATTTGAGCACCATTTGACGATATTGAGGCCAATAAAAAACGTCGAGGTAAGCCTTGTAACTTACATCAGAAGTTCAATATTTTTGAAAAAAAAATTCATTATTGTATTATGCTTAAGTATAAAACAAAACTTTATGTCCTATGTTTTCATCAAACCCACTAAATCTCCGCCAATAAATCCAATGTTACGAATGCCTACGTTATGAATACTGATATTTTCGTTTTAATACTTCCATGTCTATACATTATTCTGTTCACGTTTTCGGTTATGATCTGTGTGTCGTCTTCGGTTTTATGGTCAACTTATCGTAAAAATCCGGACGCACAGACTCTCTGCTGATGACGGTTCAGGGCCCATCCTCAATCTTTTATTTTGCATAAAGTTTGCTGATACGTTTTATGCGGGTACGGTAAAGTGCCATTCCTACAACTTTTAGTATTGTCTCACAACTTTCCTTACAATTTTTAATGAAAATTTCACTTGCGCTGGTAATACGGGTTGGATTTAAACATCGGCGAATGGAGGAAAAATATTATGATTTTTTTTGATTCGTAAATCTACAAATCGTCTTGATTGTTTGACTTCGTTAGCGTTATTCAAACTGGAGTCCTTTATTAATTTAGATTCGAGAAGTAAACTTTTCGAGAGTAATAACATTATACTGCATTGCGAACCACTCGTGTTTATTAAATCAACACGAAACGTTTCAACTTTAAATCCCTTAAACTAAAGCGCTGCAAAATTTATTACTGCAAGCTGAAATTCTGTTTTAGCACGCTTGCCCATTCCGTTGCCACCGAGGGGAGTTGTGAGATCAGTGTTCGCCCATTTCAATTTTGTTAATTGATTACTCTGCACAGAGGCCTGAAATGGCTAGTAGGTATCGAGGGAATCGCTTCTATAAATTGTAATGAAGTTGTAGTATTAGGTAGTTTTGAGTAAATTTTGTGTTAGCGATCCATTCACGGGGATGGTTACAATTTCGGACTTGACTAAGCTTAGCTTGCTCTATGCATAACCGTTGGATGGACGATTCCGCTGTCGATTGCTTTTTATAATTCTCCCCACAGCGTGATTACTTCGAAGATTCGAGAAGAAATTTTCCAGTTCCTTTTTTGTAAAGAGCTCATATTTTTGTTTATCACGTGCAGAGTGCCTGAATTGTTCTTGCGTTGCGAATATTTCTGAGCGGCTTACAAATAAAATGTCTCTTACAAATAGCATCGGTCGTGAAAGTCTCAATACAGTGAGATAGAATTGTATAAATAAGTTATAGTGTCCGATGTAACAAAAACAAAATTAACCGGTGACTAGTCAAAATATGTTTTGATATATCTATACATATAAAAATGAATCCCTATTCCCTTGGTCATGCCATCACGCGTGAACGGCTGGAGCGATTTCAGTTTATTTTTTGTTGTGTTTGTTATTATTAGGAGAAGATTCTTATGAAAGAAAAAAATAATTCCCGGAAAATCAGAAAATTTAAGAATACTAATACTGTCGTCGTCGCTAAGTGTTTGTGGCATTAATCTTGAAAAATCCATGTTTTTCACGTGGCCATTTATATGTCGCCTGTTGCCGTGTCGGAATACCAACAAAACTATTTATATACGCGCTAGAAAAAAAACCAAGAATATTGTATATCATAAAGCATTGGAATAATCAACACACTTTTTTTATTAATTATACCAAATCGAATTAAATAGTCATCGTTAAGGACAACGTCTGTCGGGTCAGCTAGTACGTAATAATATGATACCTAAGTACTCAAACCATTTCATTAGGGCTCTGCACTTACCACAACCTTTTACGAAGCGAATTTCAAAAATATAATAAATATGATAAGCCATCCTAAAAATGAAGTTGAACTTAAATACTTTCGAGTGAAACGATATTTAATAGAAATTCTCATGCACAGAGGAATTTGTGTAATTAACACGCACTGCGAGTTTATGTACGTACTTGAGCTTACTAAGCGTATTAAGGAATTCTTTTGACATTTGTGAATGATGTTTTAAATTGTCCAGTGTTAGAATTATGTTATTACGTACCGGCGGAATGTTTTAGTGTTGCTTGTAATCTACTTAATATTCTTATATGTAATTTTATTAAGATAAAATTCAGGAAATGCATCTACTATTTATGTATATACCTACGTATTTTTTTCTCTTTTATGTTTTAGCTTTTTTTGTTTATTAATTGCGTCTGTTAATCTAAATTCGTATGTAAAGTCAGTCGGGTTAAAATTGTGCGTGTTTGTAGAAGACAATTAAATAGTACAATTTTTTCTTCTCAAAGTTTTAATACAAATCTATAATTATTCCGAATTTGCCCTGTTTAGTTGTGGAAACTCGCGATGGAGTTTTCAGATCGAGATATCCCTGAAAGCTTGGTTGAGAGATATCGCCGCCGATAGGATCTATGAAATAATACCCAATTAACAGTATTTAATTGGTTTATTTCACCGACATTTGGAAGACACTATTCGTTCTCGGGAACAATTTATGGTAAATCTCAAAAAATTGGTTTTGTGTATTAAATTAGCTTCGTGTAAAGAATCTACATAATTTAGGGTTCTCTTATATGTGCCTCTTGTAGGTACTTATTTCCAAAAAAATAAGCTCCTCGCAATTCCCTAAGAACTCGAATTCTTTCTTTAAGGTCTGTAGCTTAAAGGAACTGATTATCAATAATAAAATTTAGGAACCGACCTAGCTTGGTAAGTTATACAAATTATAAATGTGACCAATTGATCTTGATCATGAAAGTCGCAGTTCTTTACGCTTTGTTTTAATCACATGTTTGTCGCCGTTTTTAGTTTTATCTGTAGAATATGGCACGTGAATCACAGCGCTCTCGTTGGAAGATGTAACTCTGGAAATACAATCAACCTACACACTCTCATGAATAAATTTCGTTATGCTGGCGTAAGCAGATGGCATAGTACCGTGTAAAATTCGACAAGAATTTGAGATTGACGGACATTTTGAGACATTGGCTTTGTTCGAATTCTCAGTTTCGAATCGCGTTTTCGTTTTACTGTCTACAAATTTTTATAG